GGGAACACACGATGAAACTCACACTATGGTACCTTGATTAGCATCATTTCCATGTTTTTATCCGTGGTTCATGTGCTTCAAATGGTTATTGATGATAATCCCAATGAAAGTGTGGGTGAAGCAAATAAGTTAATGAGAGAAATACGTACTTTTGAGTTTGTGTTTCACCTTTTCTTGATGAAAGTCATATTGGGACTCACAAATGATTTGTCATAAGCATTGCAAAGGAAAGATTAAGAAATTGTGAATGCAATGGCTTTAGTGAAATCATGCAAGGAAAAGCTACATTGGATGAGGAATAATGGGTTTAATACATTGGTTGATGAAGTATCTTCTTTTTGTGAAAAACATCATATTGATGTTCTTAACATGGAAGAGGCATTTATACTTCCAGGGAGGTTAACGCGTAATGCTCCAATAAAGACAAATCGTCATCATTATCGTGTAGAGCTCTTTATTTATGTCATTGATGAGCAAATTACAGAGTTAGAGGATCGCTTTAATGAGGTAAATACTGAGTTGCTTATTTGTTTGGCATGTTTGAGTCCGAAAGATTCATTTGTAGCTTTTGATAAACCAAAGTTACTTCGTCTTGCTCAATTTTATCCTCAAGACTTTTCGGATGAGGATCGTTTGGCACTTGAAGATCAACTTGAGATTTATATTCATTATGTGTGTTCCAGTAGTGATTTCTCTCAATTGGAAGGGATTGGTGATCATGCAAAAAAAAATGGTGGAGACAAGGATGCATCAAGTATTCAATTATGTATATTTGCTCATTACATTGTCTTTAGTTTTACCAGTTGCAACTGTTTCAGTGGAGAGAGTATTTTCTGTCATGAATATTGTTAAGGGTCCACTTAGGAACAAAATGGGAAATCAATGGTTGAGTGATAGCTTGCTTGTTTATATTGAGAGAGATATTTTTGCTTGTATTGAAAATGAAGCTATAATGCTTCGTTTTCAAAATATGAAACCTCGTCGTGGACAATTATAGCTTGTAATATTGTTTCTGTTATGAATTATGAATGAAAGTACTATGATTTCATTTTCAATATGTTTTTTCATCCTAAATTTTTATTTGGACTTTTACACTAAGATCCCTTGTTGTAAGATTCTTGGCTCCGCCACTGGGGCAAGGGGGTCAGCTGACCCCCCGAACTTCAATGAACGTCCATAGATACCTTAGGTGCTGATCCTCTGAACTTCGGTGAATGTCCATGGATACCTTGAGTGCTGCCCTTTTGAAGATTAGAGTTGGCTTCATACATGCCCTTCAACCGACTTTAGGCTTACAAAAACCCGATGAATGTCCATGAATACCTGGGGTGCTGCCCCTTGCATACATTAACATGTATGTAGTATGCATTTTCAGATGACTTCAGGCCTACCAAGACTTAATGAAATTGCGATATGCGTGATATTTCTGGTATAAAAAAAATTTGCACGCGTATTGACCCTCTTAATATTATTTCATGGATCCGCCATTGCCTGTATGATGAGATAAGTGTTATGTATTTAAATAGTGCACAATCTGTTCATTAGATAGTTATCATGTAGTGTCACCAATTGCAATAAAATCTCACAAAAAATCTGGCATGATGGCACGTGATTCATAGGTTGTATTATCCAAATCCTTCCCATCATATACAAATCACTTACCAAACTCAGTTTATTCTTTAACCTTAAGGATGACAAACATAGTAGGGAATTAACGGGCCCAAATCTTTCCCATCATTCCATCCTACTACCCCACGGAATTCAAATCAAGTATCAAAGTGGTTAAGGATGCTATGTCCTCAAGGCATCATAATAACTTATCTTTCTTTCTGGTAAGTATGTCCTCTGTGTTAGGCCCGGCCCACAAACCTACCTGGCATTTTGATTTTGCAATCTTCTCATTTAGACATTTATTCTGCTTTTTCGACTCTCCTTCTCATCATACAATATTACACGATAATTTGATCCATTTATTTGCTAGGTCATCATCAAAAGATCATCTTTTTTTTTATTTTAAATGAACTGAATCTGAAATCGATTGTATAACATTTATCCAATAAATAGACGAATCATATTTTTCATTTAAACACTTAAATCTTCAAAATGCTAATTGAACTGTTAAACGATTTTATACTTGATTTTTTTTTTAGATTTGATCCTTAAAAGGTGACTTAGAAATTAGATAACTCTAAATCATCAAACAACGTTACATGATGAAAACAGAAACCAAGAAAATAAAATAAAAAGGTTTGAATGTGAAAGTTGCTAACACCCATTTTCTCTTAAATCAATGTACCTAATTAAGTACTTTTCAAGTATTTTAGTTCCATTATTTAGTGCTGACAAGATTCTAAATTACGCATGTCGATGAACCTTACATAGAGTCCCCGTCCAAAAAGAAAATGGTCATATATATGAATGGTCGGTACGACCGTACAAGGCATACATCACTTTATCTCAGATTTTGGGCTTTCTGAAAAAAATAAGAGTTGTATAAACTATTTGTATTTGCAAGTGGTTTTTTTTAATACCAATGGTTTTTTACTTCAATGATGAAAATGAGTTCGGTCCTAACATAACGACGTGAGTTCGAACTCTGTCGGTAATTAATCTAACATCTAACTTAACCAAATCTATCATTTTTGACAAAAAAAAAAAAAACTATTTGTGTTTTTATCCAATTGGTGAATGCCACTTCAGCAAATAGGGTTTGGCATTGTTCGCCGTTCTGTAAATTCACAGCAACAACAAAAAAAAGAATATAAAAATCCATCACTTTGAGCAACAAATCTTAGGTATCTGCGTTTTCTGCATCTAAATGCACTTTGGTAATTGGTATATTCATGAACAGTTGAGGGAGTTTATAAATAAAAAATAAAATAATAAAATAATAAAAAAAAAAGAGTATTCCTTGTAGTACTTTGAAAATTGGTCCTTGAAAATTTGTATATAATTCCGACAAGGTTGAGCTGGATGGATTGGATTGGACAATTGCCATGCAATTTGCACGTCATGGTTTAGGACAATGAGATTTCGTAAAAGTTCCAACAATGCATTATGCATACGAAGAAAAAGTTTAGCAACGCCTTTTGGACTGTAAGCCACTAAATTTCAATGTAACTTGCGTCACGTTGTTAATTTTGTCAATTGTTTCATCAAATTGAACGTTCTTCTCGTTTATTTTGTAGCAGCATTTGAGTTTGTTGCATGTGTGTTTAAATTTCAATTCCTCCTATAAGAATTTCAAGTATTTACTAATTATATCCTTGTCAATATGGAATTTATTTTGAAATAAGAAAAAATTGAGACAGAATTCACATATTGGCACTAACTCAAAGTTTAAAGGCTCAAAAATCAATTGAAATTCCAGAAAACAAAATAGTATAAGGTCTAATATTCAGGAGACATTTGCTAAAGCTTTCCCCTCATGCTAACTAGAAAAAGTATCTAGCTTTTAACTCTAAACAACCACACCCTCTTTCTTTTTCTTTTTTATTCAATTTCAATTCATCCTATAAATTTGTAAGATTAATTTTGATTGATTTTATCATCATCCCATAATGTTCTTGCTATTAATGCTCAAAACTTGCAAGTTAACAAATTAAAACAATAACCATTGGTGGGCTTGGGATATAGATTAAAATGAGAAGGACTCAAGGTTTAAGTGGTTTAACCCTCAAAATTATACTATATCTACTGTGTCGAATGATTGATTTCAATACTACAAATTGTGATTGTCTAAGATATAGGCACCCAATGAACCCATGCAGCCATTCTCTCACCTTCCTAGCACTTAATGTGCCATGGCATACTGACAACTTTTTACCCACTAGCTGAACTTTCGCGGTGAAGTGACATTTGCCCAGTCGTAATCACACACCATTTATGGATGAGGCACGTCAAGTGCCCTGCTCAGCCTTGGTTAATAACCCCGTCTCCCCAAGTGTCGTCCTAAATACGGTACCTTTACGTCTCATCCTAGGCCTCTGCATTCAATTGCTAGTCACCATGTGCCCAATTGACGTCTGAGTATGCCTGGTCCTAAAACCTTGTGTCATAAAGTTGTCAGTCTGCCCACGTACCCCTAACGGTCAGAAAATACTTTATTCAGACGATCAGATTTGGCGCTCGGGAACATTTTCCTCTGAACCCCTTGGATCTTGGGCTTCTTAAGCTTGTTTGGTCTTTGATCTCACTTTGAGCTTTTCGTAGCCTCTTTTTTAGCCTGCACCATTTTGTGCGCTCAAAAGTAACCAGCATTACCACTTGCAATTAACATTTAGTTGATCAAATTAACCAAAAGCTTAAAGGAAAGAGGTAAAGTATGTAAACCACTTTGATATCTTATAAAGAGCAATCATGATACATTTCAAAGATAAGCGCCTTGAATTGAAGAACCCCAAAAAAAAAAAACACGACTAATTTTAGAAACATTAAAAAGGAAACGCAAAGCTCAAAGTCGGGAACACAAAACAAAAGAAAAAAAAGAAAAAGAAAAAAAGAGTGCCTTTGAAGATTCAATCACACCCAGCCACCACAACCACCAGCAGTCTTGATGAAAAGAAGTTTCTAAAAAGCTACTAATAAATATGAATTCATTTTCCTATGCTATACTTTACCAAGCCCCTACTCAAACTCGAATGTCCACTTTTGACAATAGGAATTGACATTGCTTGTGAAATAAAGCATTATATCCCAACCCCACCTCCCTCTCCACTCCATAATGCTAATCTTTCATCAACATTCACCAATCAAATTTAGACAATGAATCCCACTCATTCTTCAACCTCTCCTACCAATGTCACCCCCTTCATGTTTTGTTTGAGGAGAAACCAACTCGGAAACTTTGATGCAAGAGGAGGAGGAACTAAACTCGGGACCTTCGATGCACGAGGGATTACTCTTAATTACTAGCAAATATTCTTGGTCGTTTGAGTTACAAGTCATTTCAGATATTGTAAGAAGTAATCTTAATCACTGACATCCAGATTCGAGAATTCAGAAGCAAAAGTGAATACTCATAATTGTTTGAGTTACAAGTCATTTTGCATTTCAAAAGGAAATTGGGAGAGTATAAATTATGTTTTTTTTTATACAAATAATTCAACACCAAAATTTTGCTGCTAATTAAATACAAAAACAAATGAAATATCACATTAAATCTACACCGTTAAATATTATAATTAATCAGACGATGTGATCGCCGCCGAAGTTGTGTTCGGAGGAGGACGTTGAGATCGTGATCATGCCATTGCAGTCCGAAACTGTGTCCTGCAAACTCATCAAAAGATGTGAGGTGCTGAAACTTGTTGAAGGCTTTGTTCTTGGCACGATTGGGACTTCAGCTTCACCCACCAGCATTTGGACCACACCTCTCATTGCCGGTCTACAATTTGGGTCAGGATGTGAGCAAGCCAGCCCTACCAACAACACATTCCTCATCTCCCCCTCATCAAATTGCCCCTCCAGTCTTGGGTCCGCCGCCGTCAACAGCCGCCCGTCTCGGTGCAATCCCCACACCCACTCCACCAAGTTATTACACGCACCAACTTTCCCAACCCCACTCACCTCCCTCTCAATTGGCCTCCTCCCACTCCCCACCTCCAGCACCACCGCCCCAAAGCTAAACACATCAGTCTTCTCAGTTGCCCTGCCTGTCAACAAATAATCCGGCGCCAGATACCCCATTGTCCCGGCCGCCACCGTGGCATCCGGGGACTTATTGTGCTCGATTTGCCTCGCCAAACCGAAATCCCCCAAACGGGCATTGAACCCTTCATCCAGCATTATATTGCTGGTCTTAATATCTCTATGGATCACCTGGTTTTCGCACTCTTGGTGCATATAGGCCAAAGCAGAGGCAACTCCCAGTAGAATTTTACGCCTGTGAGGCCATGGCAGCGGCGTTCTTGCCTCGAACAGTGCTTTGTCCAGACTGCCATTCGGCATCAACTCATACACCAACAAAATTTCGCCCTTCTCGTGGCACCAACCTTGGAGCCTCACCAAATTCCGGTGTCTGAGAGTTCCAATTGTCGACAATTCCGACAAGAACTCGTTCTTCCCCTGACTGCTGTGGCTGCACCTCTTTACCGCGACAATGTCGCCCGTGTCGGATAATATGCCTTTATAGACTGTTCCGAAAGCGCCGTGCCCGATGATTCTGTTGGCATTGAAGCACTTGGTAGCTGCCTTGAGCTCCCTGTAAGTGAACTCCTTCGGCATTTTAATGATATCCGAAGCGATATTCGAATCCGATTTCTTGACGAGTTTGACTTTCTTGGAGTAAACCCAGATCAAAACCCCGGCAAACAGAGCCAAAACGAAAGCGGAAGCGGTGACAACTCCGGCGACGGCTCCCGGACCTTCTCTGCAGAGATGATTATGGCAGGAAGAAGACGACTTGCTGTTCTTCTGATTAGTACTGGTAGCGTTACTAGAAGAAGACCCACTTGGTGGAATTGACGGCGGTGGAGATTTGACTGAACTGGCAGTTGGATTCATCAGAGTGGTGGTCGGCGGCGGCGGAGACCCGGACGGTGGAACAGGGGAATCGAACGACGAGCTGAAGCTCCACCACTGGACGCTGTGAATCTCCGTGCTTCCCTGGGTCGACCCGGAAAACCCAACGTACATAAAATCGCTTACGTACTGGCCCAGATCGAGAGAGAATGATAGAACCGGGTCTTTGGGTTTCAGATTCGAGTACGAAACCGAGACGTTGATCACCCCACTAGACCCGTCGTACTCGATCCACGAGTTCACCAGATCGCCGCTCTTTAGATCGATGTCGACGGAACCCAGATCGCTGACACGTGTCGACACCATGGAGTTCAGATCCAATCCGACGTGGTTCCCGTTGATGTCTTTGAACTCGACGTCCATGAGTGTGTCGAACTCGACGGCAACGAAATCCGACCCGGTAGACTGTAGGCCGAGGGACCCGCCCGCGTCGCCAAGGGCCGAGTCGTCGGAAGAAATGAGGAAAGCGAGTCCGCCGCCGATGGAGGAGGGGTTGAGGTTGGTGACGGAGAATGAGAAGAATGTGAAGAAGCTCGCCGGAAACGGGGAAGAGGGCTGGCGGAAGCGGATGGGTTTGGCGTATAAAACGCGGCCGGCGCCGGAGTTGGGAACGGCGAGGTCGCGGGTGAGCCGCACACTCCCATTGTTCAGGTGAGCATCGCCGACGAGCTTCAAGCTGCTCAATGTCAGGGTGCCGAAGTCGAATTCAGTGGCGGCCACGACGGCGAATACGGCTGCGTTTGGAATGCAAAGAACCAGAAAGTAAAGGAAGCAGTGACAATCCAACATTGTCAATGGCGACGAAGGAAACCCATCAGAAAATTTTCTGTGGTGTGCGTTGAGATGAAGAAGAAGAAGAAGATTGAAATGGAATGAATGAATCACGGGTTTGGGTTTCTAGACAGAGAAAGAGAGAGAGAGTAAAGAGGGGAGAGAGAGTGGATGATGGGGAGTCGTATTCTTTGCCTTAAAACAGAACAAAGCGGAGGAAGCAAACAAGGAATATGAAGGAGAGGATACATAAGAGAATCCAGAGGTGACAAGTGGAACAACAGTGCGCCACGTGTCATTTTGCAACGGTTATTTTTTCGGTGGTGATAAGAGTGAGAGTAATAGATAAAGGGTGTTCTGAATAAATCTTTAAGTGGGTACATTACGTGTTATTATATAAATAATAAAAAATTTAATTTTTTTTAATTATTAATTTTATTATTATATATATTTTATTATTTATATAATAACATGTAATATACTATTTCGTATTCTCATCACGTTAAAAAAAATCTTTCGGATCTTGGCTTTCTGGCTTTTACTTTGGGAGGCTCGTGCCATTAGTAAATTTAGCACTGGGAATTTACGGAAAATTTCTGGTGGCACGTGCGGTGTAACGAGTATTCGTTGTCACGCTACTTTTGTTTTGTTTTCTTACCAATTATTTTGCTTTGCTAGTTGTGAGTCAATAATGTCACCTAATTGTCAAGGATCAATGTTAATTACATGGAACTTTGAGATTTAACGGGGCTAAAATTAGATAGATTCTTTCGTAATATTTAATAAATATTATCACGTATTCAAAAAAGATAATGCTAAGAAGATTAAAATTGAAATTAAATTTACAAATCAAATAATGTATCGCCAATAGGAAATAAAGTTGTTAATCAACGCTTAAGTAACAATACAATTATCAACAACCACATTGTTGGGTTTATAAATTTAGTTTTGAAAATTTGGTCTCCCTAACATTATCTTTTTAAAAATATCATACTCTTCAACTCTTATCAATTGCACGGTAAATTAGTTATACGAGAGAATCTCTAAAAAAAATGAGGTTACAAATATTTTTTTTGGCTTTTTAGTCAAAATGGTCTATGAGATTAACTCGTCGCTTTGGTTCTTGAGATTTGAAATCAATAGAAGTGGTCCATGAGTTTATCCATCATTAGTCACTTTGGTCGTCCATGAAAAATCTCCATTAAATAAGGATAAAATTACGTAAATACCCTCAATTTTTTGTTAAATCATTTTGGCCCATTGTCTATTAAATTAATGATACTTTTGTCATTTTGATCTTTATTTAACAGAAGTTTTCATGGAATGACCAAACTGATTGATGGTGGACAAACTCATGAATCACTTCTATTGATTTCAAATTTGAAGGACTAAAGTGGTGAGTTATAGCTTAAGGGTTAAAAGTCTTTTTATTTCCTCCAATGCGAAACTAAATAGGGGGTTTCCATATCTTTCTCCACATTCTTTAGCAAAATCGAGATAATGTTGTAGTTACACTCACTTTATTCTTCATTATTAAAAGTAGGCTTTTTAGCCAAATTGGCCTTTGAGATTTGCATAGCTTCCACTTTAGTCCCTGAAATTTGAAATCAATAAAGTAGTCATTGAGATTGTCCACCATCAATCATTTTGGTTATTGGGTGAAAAATTATGTTAAATAAGGATCCAAATGACAAAATTACCTTCAATTTAATAAACAATAGGCCAAAGTGATTTTACCAAAATTGAGGGTAATTTTATCTTTTTATTCTTATTTTATGGAGATTTTCCATGGAATGACCATTGATAGTGGACAAACTCAGTGACAAATTCTATATATTTCAAATCTCAGGGATTAAAGTGAAGAGTTATGCAAATCTTAGGAACTATTTTGGCTAAAACACCTTAAAGGTACAACAAAAACAAAGAGTGTTGAAAGTGAAGATACATATATCATTATTTAACAGCATTGACAATGAAGATGCTATTATAAGATGCATGTTTTATCATGGTAACGTGATGGACGCTATGGTTATGGTGCTCTTCAGTGAATTTGTATACCTCCAAACCATCTCCTAAATCCCACACCTTGCCTCAATCCCTAAGACCTTCTCCAACATTTAGGTTAAAACTTCAAATTTTTAACCAAAAAAATTTAGGTTTCAGCTTAGAAACAGTTTTTATCCTCCAACCCTTCTAGGTTAAATTTTTAGCCCAAGATTATTAAAGAATGAATTTAGGATAATTATTTTCTTAAAGTAACTTTAAAAAAAATTATTTAGATTATTCTAATTTAATTTATAAACATCCTAACCTAAAAATATTTAAATTCTGATATATATTGAAAAATCACTAAATTGGCATCATGAAACTCGTGGAACACTACGAAAGAATATGAAACACATAAAATACATTTTTTTAATTACTTTAGTTGTTAGATTTAAATTTGGACCGTTAGATAAATTTTTTTTATCGTTGGATTTGATCAAATTATATCTTAGCCGTTGAATTCAATGAATTTATAAATATAAAAACAATACACATATATGATGGACAAGCCCCATTAAATTAGGGATGAATCATTGACTAAATTTGGCCTATAAATGAATTTTAGGTTTTAACTCATATTGGTCTCAAGGGTTGGAACAAGTTAGAGTAAATTTAGAACCTAAAATTTGAGTTTTACTCAAATTTTTTATTTTTTATTTTTTATTTTTTATTTTGCATAAATTAGATGTTTTACAGGTCATGTGACGTGATACAAGAAATACAATTAACGTACATGTAAAAACGGTCAAGTCATTTACATAAGGGTTGTGATTTTCACACACCCTTAGCTACTTTTCCCACACCCTCCCTATTTTTTAATAGTTAATTGGTATCATACTATTTAATCTTCCATATATACCCTTCCTACTTTTTGATGGCAATTAATGAAAGATTAAATAAGGAGGAGTATATATGAAAGATTAAATAGTATGATACCAATTAAGTACTCAAAAATAGGGAGAGGTGTGGAAAAAGTAGTTAAGGGTGTGATAAAATCACAACCCTTTACATCAACTTTTTACGTAGAGTAGACAATGACAATGTATAGTATAGGCACCAAGTATGGAATACTGACCAATCATCTTCCTTTTGCTTCCTCATAAGCACTAGGCAACCTGATGAGCCTACACACCCCTTAGGGCTGTTGCGTGGGTTTGACGGCTGTACTAGTTTCATAATTTCATTCCAACTCCCGGGTGATGGGATGTGGTGACACACCCCGTCCCGAAGGAGGGCATGCTGGCCGTCACGTGAGAGTGACGTAACCATTTACACAGTACGGAAGCTTTAAGATACAATTTATAAGTTGATACACCCGAAGGTGAGTCCTACTTTTGTCCAATCTGTCAGAACACCGTCGAATTCCTCGTAGTCACCACACCTTTGTGATTCCTGAACCTGGAGGGGCGCAAACCAAAATTGAGTGGGTCAGTAAAACAATTCTTTTCCAAATCCAAACATTTCTCAAAACGTTGTAACCCCTCTCCGTAAAACCTGTATACTTTCCCAGAAATGTAAAATATAAATATACATATATATTCTCAAGACTTCAAGTCGTTAACTCAACATTTTCATAACAATTATGCCATGCCACATCATCTCAACATTTCTCATATTAATTATGCCATGCCACATCATCTCAACAATAATAAGGTATGAATGCATAAACATAATCATATCAGGTGCAAGAAAGTAATCAACCGTAGGCCCTCTAATAGCCCTGTACGGTTGAACCTAGAGCTCAAAATCTATCACTATCACTCTACCGGAGTCACATCTGTGACCTGTCCGGCCTTCTGCACACAAGTTACGCTCTAGTGCTTCTCATAAATCATCTGTGCACATAATCTAAGGTCACCCACCAGTCGGAATCTCACTAACACTCTAGCGACTGGCCTGTCGTACCCACTCCGCGTGGACTGTACGACTAGCATCTACTTGGATCCAAGGCGAGCGTGCGATGCGGTGAATACTATAAGCACTAAACCATGGTGCAGGATTTGAGCTCAATATATATCATCATCATCATAACAGTAATTAAATACTCACCTGTGCGTCCACCGCACCATTTCATACATATGCATCATAAATCAATTCTTACCTGTGCGTCCACCGCACCAATTCATACATATGCATCATATATTAATTCATGCATGGCTTTTCAACTCACATTTCTATATACTTTTCATATCAATTCTATGCATGGTATTTCACTTCCCGTTTTTCCACATAACTCATATGCATTTCATTTTAAACATATTTTCATTTCAATTCAATTTCTGGGAAACGTCAAGTATATATATATATATGGAAAACAAAACTGCCCACTCACCTGGAGTTCGCCCTACAACTCCCTAGCACAATACGCCAAGGCGTCATGACAATCGGCGCCTAAAACAATAATAAATTCCAACCTCAGAATTCATATCGATAGAATATATAACTTATATAAAATACATCACTACGTAGATTGATCCGGAAGATCCACCCCTCAGATTTTAAATCCATAACTTCCAGAGGTCCACAATATATCTCTAGGATAACCTCCTAAAATTTCATTACCATCCAACGGTCGGATCGTCAATTCACATTTTCACCTAAATGTGAAAATTATAAAACGTTATTTGAACACCTAACCAACAATCCTCAATAACTTTCTCATACGGTGTTCAATTTAGGTATATGAATATACCACAGTGAACTACTCGACGTCACGAACGTCGACATATTTTTAAAATAATTTTATTTTTATTTTTTATTTTTACTGTAGCACCTTCTTCTTCCTTGGGTCGCCGGACTGGTTTTTCCGGCGGCCGTTTTCTGGGCAGTTTTTCAAATTGCCATAACTTTGTCATTTCTCAACGAAATCAAGTGATTCAAAAACAAAAGTTGTAGCCCTTGAAGAGACAAAGAGAATGGTACCTTGCACAACACCTAGTTCGCCGTGGTTTGGCCGGAAACTGCCTCGAAAGCCTCGGAGGTCGTCGGAAACTGGGTATTTTTCAAATGAGTATAACTTCTTCAATACTCAACGAAATTGAGTGAAACAAAAAGGAAAGTTGTAGTACTTGACGAGACGAAGAGATTGATACCTACCTCAACTCCTAACTCGCCGGGGATTCGCCGGAAAGAGCCTCGAAAGCTCCGGCCAAACTTTGAACTTGTCGATCT